ACCACAGCATCATTCCCTGCATTCCTGCCGCGGCATCCTTCCCTCCACCTCTGCCACAGTATCCTTCCCTCCATCCCTACCACAGCATCCTTCCCTCCGTTTCCACCACAGCATCGTTTCATCTATCCCTTCCACATCATCCATCCCTGCATTTCTGCCACAGCATCCCTCCCTCCATCCCTACCACAGCATCCTTCCCTCCACCCCTACCAGAGCATCCTTCCCTCCGTCCCTGCCACAGCATCCTACCCTCCGTCTCTGCCACAGCATCCTTCCCTCCGTCCCTGCCACAGCATCCTTCCCTCCGCCCCTACCACAGCATCCTTCCCTCCGCCCCTACCACAGCATCCTTCCCCCTATCCCTGCCACAGCATTCTTCCCTAAATCCGTACCACAGCATCATTCCCTGCATTCCTGCCGCGGCATCCTTCCCTCCACCTCTGCCACAGTATCCTTCCCTCCATCCCTACCACAGCATCCTTCCCTCCGTTTCCACCACAGCATCGTTTCATCTATCCCTTCCACATCATCCATCCCTGCATTTCTGCCACAGCATCCCTCCCTCCATCCCTACCACAGCATCCTTCCCTCCACCCCTACCACAGCATCCTTCCCTCCGTCCCTGCCACAGCATCCTACCCTCCGTCTCTGCCACAGCATCCTTCCCTCCGTCCCTGCCACAGCATCCTTCCTTCCGTCCCTGTCACAGCGTCCTACACTCTGTCCATGCCACAGCATCCTTCCCTCCGTCCCTGCCACAGCATCCTTCCGTCCGTCCCTGCCACAGCATCCTACCCTCCGTCTCTGCCACAGCATCCTTCCTTCCGACCCTGCCACAATATCCTAGACTCCGTCCCTGCCATAGCATGCTTCCTTCCGTCCCTGCCACAGCATCCTTCCCTACGTCCCTGCCACAGCGTCCTTCCCTCCGCCCCTGCCACAGCATCCTTCCTTCCGTCCCTGCCACAGCATCCTACCCTCTGTCCCTGCCATAGCATGCTTCCTTCCGTCCCTGCCACAGCATCCTACCCTCCGTCTCTGCCACAGCATCCTTCCTTCCGTCCCTGCTACAGCATCCTACCCTCCGTCCCTGCCATAGCATGCTTCCTTCCGTCCCTGCCACAGCATCCTACCCTCCGTTCCTGCCACAACATCCTACCCTCCGTCCCTGCAACAGCATCCTTCCCTCCGTTCCTGCCACAGCATCCTACCCTCCGTCTCTGCCACAGCATCCTTCCCTTCGTTCCTACCACAGCATCCTTCCCTTCGTCCCTGCCACAGCAACCTTCCCTCCGTTCCAGCCACAGCATCCTACCCTCCGTCCCTGCCAAAGCATCCTACCCTCCGTCCCTGCTACAGCATCCTACCCTCCGTCTCTGCCACAGCATCCTACCATCCGTCCCTGCCACAGCATCCTACCCTCCGTCCCTGCCACAGCATCCTACCCTCCGTCTCTGCCACAGCATCCTACCCTCCGTCTCTGCTACAGCATCCTACCCTCCGTCCCTGCCACAGCATCCTTCCCTCCGTCCCTGCCACAGCATCCTACCCTCCGTCTCTGCCACAGCATCCTACCCTCCGTCCCTGCCACAGCATCCTACCCTCCGTCCCTGCCACAGCATCCTACCCTCCGTCCCTGCCACAGCATCCTACCATCCGTCCCTGCCACAGCATCCTACCCTCCGTCCCTGCCACAGCATCATACCCTCCGTCCCTGCCACAGCATCCTACCCTCCGTTCCTGCCACAGCATCCTACCCTCCGTCCCTGCCACAGCATCCTACCCTCCATCCCTGCCACAGCATCCTACCCTCCGTCCCTGCCACAGTATCCTACCCTCCGTCCCTGCCACAGCATCCTACCCTCCGTCCCTGCCACAGCATCCTACCCTCCGTCCCTGCCACAGCATCCTACCCTCCGTCCCTGCCACAGCATCCTTCCCTCCGTTCCTGCCACAGCATCCTACTCTCCGTCCCTACCACAGCATCCTACCCTCCGTCCCTGCCACAGCATCTTACCCTCCGTCCCTGCCACAGCATCGTACCCTCCGTCCCTGCCACAGCATCCTTCCTTCCGTTCCTGCCACAGTATCCTACCCTCCGTCCCTGCCACAGCATCCTACCCTCCGTCCCTGCCACAGCATCCTACCCTCTGTCCCTGCCACAGCATCCTTCCTTCCGTCCCTGCCACAGTATCCTACCCTCCGTCCCTGCCACAGTATCCTACCCTCCTCCCTGCCACAGCATCCTACCTTCCGTCCCTGCCACAGCATCCTACCCTCCGTCCCTGCCACAGCATCCTACCTTCCGTCCCTGCCACAGCATCCTACCCTCCGTCCCTGCCACAGCACACGTTCATAAATAATAAAGCAACACCGTGAAACTCCCCAGAGATCCTGACCCAAACCCCATAAAAGCGTCTGATAAACCCCTCCCACATAATCAAATTGTTTTCTCCTATGTGTCACGCGTTCCAAAAGAAGAGAAATCGATGTAAAGGGAATCCGCAATGGTGGCACCCCTCTCCGTAGTAAGGGTGCCACCCCTCTCTGAGCCAAGGGTGCCACTCCTCTCCCTCCCTCTCCCCTCCGTAACAAGGATGCCACCCCTCTCCCTCCCTCACTACTCCGTCCTGGTGTAAAATATGGCACTGGTAGCAGGCGTGTCAGGTGATGACTGTGTGGGTGATGGAGTGCCAGAGAGTCGGCTCCGCTGTCCCAGAGAATGGCACCGTGGTGCCGCTGACTGATGATCCGCCTCGCCCCCTCGCCTCTGCCCCCCCCACCCCCTCCTCACACCTTCCGCTGGATCAACCGGAACTCAGCTGAACAGGTGTCAGCTAAAGGGTGCCAGGGAGGGCCATAGTGAGGGAAGGTAGAGGGGAAAGAACGAATGAGACAGAAAATAATAGAAGGAAAGAAGGTAAATGAAAGAAGGGTAAGGAAAAAGATGAATGTGATGGAAAAGAAGAGCAGGGAAAAGAGCGAATGAAAGAAGGCTAGGAAAAGCGATGAATGAAATAGTTAAGAGAAAGTAAAGACGAATTATTGAAACTTAACGAGAGAGGAAAAGATGGACAGTCGGTGAAGACGTTGCAGTTCTAATGAGAACCTTGGAGCATCAGTGAGGATCTTAGTGCTTCATTGAGGACCTTAGTGCTTCAGTGAGGAGTCAATGAGGACGTTAATTCTACAGTGAGGGAATAAAGATAATAGCATTTCATTAGAGAGGCTGTGAAACGAGACTCAGTGTGGTTCATTGGGTTTAAAGAAAGTAATCAGTTTCAGAGGCGAGAGAGACAGATTGTACTCTAGAATACTCAATATGTACACTAATCCCAGAGTACACACTATATGCACTATACTCAGAGTGTAGATACTATATACATTATTCTCAGACGACACTACACACATACATACATACAATATACTACATTAAACCCACGATGAAGTGCAGTGAAGAAAATGGAAAAATTTTAATCGTGGGAAGAGAAAATAAAGTAAGATTATCAACCCATTAATTTAGATACAGGTAAAATCAGAAGATGGCACTGCTGTGGGAGTGATTTTTTTTGGCAATATCGTGACACCAAGACAACAGGTTATAAATGACCATAATTTTTAAAGGGGTGGACCGGTAAGCCAGCGGAAGGCCTCGGTCAGATGACCAAAAGCTCCAAAGGCGGGTCATCATCTGACTAAGACCCGCGTCAGGAAACATTTGTCCTGTTTCCTGACGAACCTTACCTAACCTAACCTAACCTAACCTAACCTAACCAAGACAACAGTGAATGTTGGCATGAAAGACAATGGAGTGCAAGATTTTGTACTAGAAGCGTTGGGGAAAAATCTTACTGGTAGTCATTGAAGCAAAAAAGTTGTGAAACTTTAAAATTACGTTAGACACACACACACACACACACACACACACACACACACACACACACACACACACACACACACACACACACACACACACACACACACACACACACACACACACACACACACACACACACACACACACACACATATATATATATATATATATATATATATATATATATATATATATATATTATCACATTATCAAGGATAATGTGAGAAGTCACGAAAGCGCTTAGAATTTCACTATTCTTTCACAGTAGTTCTTTTGCATACTCTGATATCACCTGTTTATTGTGATCTTATTATATTAATAACGTCGGTAAGGAAATACAAGAGGTGAACAAAGTGCCAAGTAACAATATCTTATCAAATGCTACTGACTTTTAATAAATACCAAAGACAAATACCTGAAATAAAATAGGACCTGCCTTGCCTGTTGTAATCAAACAGTGATACTGTAACATTTCTTTGTTAATTTAGTTTTACAATTAATGAGTGTAGTTATAAACGTACGCTAAGGGTCCTATTAAGCTCAAAAATAGTCTTTATTTTAGGCTTTAAATAATCACTCACAATTAATCTCTTTCTCAACAGTATTTACCAACATTTTAATTATTGTACATGTTCCACCATCGCTGGTGTGACAACAACTACATACTACTACTACTATTGATATTACTACTACTACTCCTGCTACTATTACTAATACTACTACTACTTCATCGCTTGCTACTATGTAAATATCCTTTCTCAAGTTTCTGTTAGACCGATAAATCCCCTGGCAGGCGAGGCATCTCTTATAAAAATACCCAGGTGTTACACGTGTCTTATTCATCAAATTAGTAGAGCTGATACCCAGCATTGTTTGAATTTGCATTCGTCTTCAGTAAACATAATTTTTATCCATTTCAGTCAAACTTTAATCAATTAGAAAACATCACTTACAGTCTGTATCCGTAAAGAATATCATTTAGTTTTATCATTTATGTTCTTTAAGTCTGTCAGAAAGGGAGCGGCCAGTTTTTCCAAAGTATTGAAGAGGACAGGAGGAGCAGGAAACAGAGTAGACCCCGGAATTTAATAACACAAAAAGAAGTATTTAATATATATCTTACCCTTGATAGAAGGAAGCGAGATGGGAGTGAGTTGGTTTGGGGGCGCAATAACTGCTGGATCTCCCTGTGGAACCACCGTCTGTTGTTGCTGCTGCTGGGAGGCATGATTCTGCTGCTGTTGTGGCACTGGCGGCACTTGACCCTGACTGGGCGTGGGCACGTCATTGTGCATGATCTCTGGGCTCTTTCTTCCCTGCGACCGAGGTTGGTCTCTGACCCACGTCATGTATTCCTTGCTGAAGGTGGGTTCGCAGTAGCCCATCTGCGGCGGCGTCATGCAGGAACTGTAGTCTGCTTGCGTCCCCTGCATCATGTGTTGCGGTACCATATTGGAAGTCAGGCCGCAGGCGGCTCTGTAATCCACATAGTCGTTGTAATATTGACCGCACTGGCCGTCGTAACCGTAACCGTTATTGTAGGTGGTGTCGTAGTAGGAAGCGTAGGGGTTAGGTTGGGCCGGGTAGGACTCGTAGAAACTCTTCTGCATGATGCTGAGGGGATGTGCTGTCACAGGTGCTGCAGGGGTCACCACGTCCTCTCCCTCACAAGCCACCAGGTGAACTGACCTTTGACCCGGCTCGCCCATCTCCGCTACCTGGGGTCCCGTGACCACACGACCAATCACACTCTTCCGCTCAGGTCAACCACAAATCTGCAACAAGAAATCTGGTCGTCATTTTAGAGGACCAATCCTCACCGACCTGCCGTGACCCCAAGTGAGTATCCAAACATATTCATTGTTATTATTCATGAACGCTACAGCGTTCTGAGGATGGCAGGAGCCGCTGAGAACGTCCTCAGCGAGATTACTTAAACACAACACTTACGACGACGTTTCGGCGTGACTTTCTCATTGGTCCGAGTCGGACCGAAATGTCGTCGCAAGCTTTTTCTTCTTTAAGCTCAACACATGTCCGTCATAGATTCCAAACTCACAAAAAATCATCACGTACAAAATTAATGTCAAAAAAAATATCTGATCCACAAAGAATAAGAAGTCGTAACACAGTGACTGGAAAACTACGCCAATAAATCACACAAAAGAGAAACGAACTGATGACGACGTTTCGGTTCGATTTGAACCATAAACCAGTCACACACTGACTAGTTAATGGTCCAAGTTGGACCGAAACGTCGTCAAAAGCTTGTTTCTCCTATGTGCGGGATAATAGTGTTTATGTTATCCACTTTCAGATATAATTCATTTTCTATATATATGCATAAGCCTTTAACGAAGGGAGCCTTCAAGGCAGGAAGCCTTCAAGGCAGGGAGCCTTCAAGGCAGGGGGCCTTCAAGGCAGGGAGCCTTCAAGGCAGGGAGCCTTCAAGGCAGGGAGCCTTCAAGGCAGGGAGCCTTCAAGGCAGGGGGCCTTGAAGGCAGGGAGCCTTGAAGGCAGGGAGCCTTCAAGGCAGGGAGCCTTCAAGGCAGGGAGCCTTCAAGGCAGGGGGCCTTCAAGGCAGGGAGCCCCTTCAAGGCAGGGAGCCTTCAAGACAGAGAGCCTTCAAGGCAGGGAGTCCTCAAGGCAGGGAGCCTTCAAGGCAAGGAGCCTTCAAGGCAGGGAGCCTTCAAGGCAGGGAACCTTCAAGGCAGGGAGCCTTCAAGGCAGGGAGCCTTCAAGGCAGGGAGTCCTCAAGGCAGGGAGCCTTCAAGGCAAGGAGCCTTCAAGGCAGAGAGCCTTCAAGGCAGGGAGCCTTCAAGGCAGGGAGCCTTCAAGGCAGGGAGCCTTCAAGGCAGGGAGCCTTCAAGGCAGGGGGCCTTCAAGGCAGGGAGCCTTCAAGGCAGGGAGCCTTCAAGGCAGGGAGCCTTCAAGGCAGGGGGCCTTCAAGGCAGGGAGCCCCTTCAAGGCAGGGAGCCTTCAAGACAGAGAGCCTTCAAGGCAGGGAGTCCTCAAGGCAGGGAGCCTTCAAGGCAAGGAGCCTTCAAGGCAGGGAGCCTTCAAGGCAGGGAACCTTCAAGGCAGGGAGACTTCAAGGCAGGGAGACTTAAGGAAGGGAGCCTTCAAGGCAGGGAGCCTTCAAGGCGGGGAGTCTTCAAGGCAGGGGCCCCTCAAGGCAGGGGTCTTCAAGGCAGAGGGCCTTGAAGGCAGGGGCCTTCAAGGCAGGGAGCCTTCATGGCAGGGAGTCTTCAAAGAAGGGAACCTTCAAAGAAGGGAGCCCTCAAGGCGGGGAGTCTTCAAGACAGGGGCCTTCAAAGCAGGGGCTTTCAAGGCAGGGGCCTACAAGGCAGGGAGCCTTCAAGGCAAGGAGCCTTCAAGGCAGGGAGCCGTCAAGGCAGGGAACCTTCAAGGAAGGGATCCTCCAAGGCAGAGCCTTCAAGGTAGGGAGCCTTCAAGGAAGGGGCCTTCAAGGCAGGGAGCCTTCAAGGCAGGAAGCCTTCAATGCAGGGAGCCTTCAAGGCAGGGGGCCTTCAAGGCAGGGAGCCTTCAATGCAGGGAGCCTTCAAGGAGGGGAGCCATCAAGGCAGGGAGCCTTCAAGGCAGGGAACCTTCAAGGCAGGGAGCCTTCAATGCAGGGAGCCTTCAAGGAGGGGAGCCATCAAGGCAGGGAGCCTTCAAGGCAGGGAACCTTCAAGGCAGGGGTCTTCAAGGCAGAGGGCCTTGAAGGCAGGGGCCTTCAAGGCAGGGAGCCTTCATGGCAGGGAGCCTTCAAAGAAGGGAACCTTCAAAGAAGGGAGCCCTCAAGGCGGGGAGTCTTCAAGACAGGGGCCTTCAAAGCAGGGGCTTTCAAGGCAGGGGCCTACAAGGCAGGGAGCCTTCAAGGCAAGGAGCCTTCAAGGCAGGGAGCCGTCAAGGCAGGGAACCTTCAAGGAAGGGATCCTCCAAGGCAGAGCCTTCAAGGTAGGGAGCCTTCAAGGCAGGGGCCTTCAAGGCAGGGAGCCTTCAAGGCAGGAAGCCTTCAAGGCAGGGAGCCTTCAAGGCAGGGGGCCTTCAAGGCAGGGAGCCTTCAATGCAGGGAGCCTTCAAGGAGGGGAGCCATCAAGGCAGGGAGCCTTCAAGGCAGGGAACCTTCAAGGCAGGGAGCTTTCAATGCAGGGAGCCTTCAAGGAGGGGAGCCATCAAGGCAGGGAGCCTTCAAGGCAGGGAACCTTCAAGGAAGGGAGCCTTCAAGGCAGGGAGCCTTCAAGGCAGGGAGCCTTAAAGGAAGGGAGCATTCAAGACAGAGAGCCTTCAAGGCGGGGAGTTTTCAAGGCAGGGGCCTTCAAGGCAGGGAGCCTTCAAGGCGAGGAGCCTTCAAGGCAGAGAGCCTTGAAGGCAGGGAGCCTTGAAGGCAGGGAGCCTTCAAGCAAGGGAGCCTTCAAGGAAGGAAGCCTTCAGGCAGGAAGCCTTCAAGACAGGGAGCCTTCAAGGCAGGAAGCCTTCAAGGAAGGCAGCCTTCAAGACAGAGAGCCTTCAAGGCGGGGAGTCTTCAGGGCAGGGGCCTTCAAGGCAGGGACCTTCAAGGCAAGAGCCTTCAAAACAGGGAGCCTTCAAGGAAGGGAGAATTCAAGGCAGGGAGCCTTCTAGGCAAAGATCCTTCAAGGCAGGGATCCTTCAAGGCAAGGAGCCTTCAAGGCAGGGAGCCTTCAAGGCAGGGAGCCTTCAAGGAAGGGAGAATTCAAGGCAGGGAGCCTTCAAGGAAGGGAGCCTTCAACGCAGGAAGCCTTCAAGGCAAGGAGTCTTCAAAGCAGGGAGCCTTCAAAGCAGGGAGCTTTCAATTGCAGGGAGCCTTCAAGGCAGGGAGCCTTCAAGGCAGGGAACCTTCAAGGCAGAGAGCCTTGAAGGAAGGGAGTTTTGAAGGCAGGGAGCCTTCCAGGAAGAAAGCCTTCAAGGAAGGAAGCCTTCAAGGAAGGGAGCCTTCAAGGAAGGAAGCCTTCAAGGCAGGAAGCCTTCAAGGCAGGGAGCCTTCAAGACAGGGAGCCTTCAAGGCAAGGAGCCTTCAAGGCAGGGAGCTTTCAAGGCAGGGAGCCTTCAAGGAAGGGGGCCTTCAAGGCAGGGAGCCTTCAAGGAAGGGAGCCTTCAACGCAGGAAGCCTTCAAGGCAAGGAGTCTTCAAAGCAGGGAGCCTTCAAAGCAGGGAGCCTTCAAAGCAGGGAGCCTTCAAGGCAGGGAGCCTTCAAAGCAGGGAACCTTGAATTGCAGGGAGCCTTCAAGGCAGGGAGCCTTCAAGGCAGGGAACCTTCAAGGCAGGGAACCTTCAAGGCAGGGAACCTTCAAGGCAGGGAACCTTCAAGGCAGGGAACCTTCAAGGCAGGGAACCTTCAAGGCAGGGAACCTTCAAGGCAGGGAACCTTCAAGGCAGGGAACCTTCAAGGCAGGGAACCTTCAAGGCAGGGAACCTACAAGGCAGGGAACCTTCAAGGCAGGGAACCTTCAAGGCAGGAAACCTTCAAGGCAGGGAACCTTCAAGGCAGGGAACCTTCAAGGCAGGGAACCTTCAAGGCAGGGAACCTTCTTAAAAAAAAGTAGCTATTGCTGACTAGAGATCTTTATTGAGACAAAGTTTCACTTAGACATAGAGATCTATATAAAATTAAACCATAGTACCTTTCTTATCAGTATATCGGCTTTGCAGCCTCTCATTTAGAATGATCTTTAATAAGTAGATAGATAGATAGATAGATAGATAGATAGATATGATCTCACAAATATCACCCTATCCCATAACAGACCGTCAGTTGCAAATAACACATCAACTTCCGAGATCCCCAGAAAAACATTTGACACTCACTCACCATTTTGGGAGCTTGTTCCTAGGCCACTTGTGGTATATGTGTGCTCTGAAGCTACCGTTCACAACATGTATATGTGGTGCACAGTAAACTATTAACTTCGGCTGCAAAATATGAATCTCTGAAGTATCAACAGTGAAATCAGTCTGGTAATACGGGAGATGTGGACACTGTTGCCCAACAGCACATCGTGGTGTCACTGGTGATCATTTACAACAGTCAACACAGCACTGATACACTGACGAGTTTAATTTTTGCTGCAATAAGCCAGTCTCTGTGGCGGCATCCTTATTCTCAAATCTCTCTTCCCTCACAGTCTTCCACTCTCTCCTTTTATCTTTTCATCATCACTTCTCCACTTCCTCTTCCCCTCCTCCTGTTCTTCGGCTTCCTACTCCCTTCCTCCTACTTCTCCCCTTTCCTCCTCCTCCTCCTCCTCTTCGTCTTCACCTCCTCCTCTTCCTTCTCCTCTTTCTCCTCTTCCCTACTTCTCCTCTTCCCCTCCTCCTCTACCTCCTCCTCCTCCTCCTCCTCCTCCTCCTCATCTTCTTTCTCCTCCTCCTCTTCTTTCTCCTCCTCCTCCTCCTCCTCCTCTTCTTTCTCCTCCTCCTCCTCTTCTTTCTCCTCCTCCTCCTCTTCTTTCTCCTCCTCCTCCTCCTCCTCACACACACACTCAAAATGACCAATTACAAAGCAGTGATGCGGTCGTTCAGAGGTGTTTAGGCTTTGTAGCTCTCCAGAGACTTGTTAATATCGTCGAACTCCCCGCCTCCTCCCGGGAAAGCTCTCGCAGTGATTAATGGAGGGACGGAGGTGGTGCTGCGTCGTCGTCGGTGGCCAGAGCAAGGTGGTGCTGTGAAGCCTGTAGCCAGGACGAGGTGGTGGTGGACATTCT